CTCTCATTAATATTAAATATATAAATATAACTTTTATGAAAGAAAACATTAAATTTCGAAAAAGCTAATAAAAAGAATTATAATCCTTTTAAAAAGAGATGAAAAAATAATTAGATTAAACAAATTTGTAGTACAGTATATATGCGACTGAAATTTTAAATTACAACTTCAAAAATAAAAAAATTATTACCCTCGCTTTTCTAAATAATTCAAAACAAGCATCTTATAAATTATTTATTATTTCTTGGTATAATTAAAAGTGAAATGCCAAGGATGTTTCGTTCTATTATTATTACTATTGCTATTATTATTCTTTGCATAATGAAATGCATTCATTCACTAGCAGAAAAAAAGACAACAAAATAACTGTAAAGTAGACCTATTTATATGCACATAATAAAATATAAAGTGGTTAGTTGAAGACATAAGAGGTTTTGTCTGTCTTCTATTTTTTAAATTAAAATTATAAACTATTCTGTAGTAAAATTATAAAATAATGCAAATGAAAATCTCTAATGACGCAAGTATTCAGTTTGTATAGAGATAAAAGAAGAAAAAATAAAATAAAACTAACATTAAGTCCATAAATTTCCTGATTATTTACTGTATGTGGGTGTTAGATTTACTTTGCAGTGATTTAAATCAATTTAGATAATCATACATAAATTACGCTATCACTAAATGATAACATTTTATTTTAAATTTATTTTCAAGCTTCTCTGAAAGTTTTTAAATCTGTTAACGTTTATTAATTGCATAAATATTTACTAAAATTAAAATATCATTATGAACTTCTTTATTTATTGAAAATTATTATCTTTATATACCTAGGACTATGTATAAATAATTTATTAACATAAAACCTTGATACATAGGCCTAAGTATGTATTTAAATAAACACCGTCCATTTTAATGATAAAGCACGTTATAACCTATTACTATTCGAATAGAAAATTTACAATGTTATTTTAAAATTAATTTATTATTTAATAATAAAGTCAATCAGAATCTTATCAATAAGTAGTAGGCGGAAAGATAGAGATAACAATAGAAAAAGAAAGAGGGAATCTGGATGCAACGAAAACATAAATTGCAATAATTATTGTTTAAAATTTTGAATTATATCAGATGTAAAATCAGTATATGACTATTAACGAATAAAACAATTCGTTAAAATTTACGTAATGGATATATATTATTTAAATATACTAAAGAACATATAAGATATTTTAACGAATAATATAAAAATATATTATGTTCTAAGTAATAGGAAAAATTTTAGATGTTGTAAATAACTATATAAGTACCTAAAAATTTATTAATTTTTATTATTTGTGACGATCACAAAGCATTGCTATCACCGTTCGAGGATTGAATTCAGCTATATAAAATTATAAATCCCCGATATTGGGCCTATACTTCTTAAGCTTATAATAATAGTTTAATCATTTTTTAAATTGCATTTTTATATTTTAAAATGAAATATACGTCGTTTGTTTCTAATGAGTACAAAGAATTAATTAATAAAACAACATTCATATTCACCGTTGTGTTAGATTTCCTCATATACAGGGGTGGATCTACATAGGGACTAATAAGGCTTAAGCCCTGGGCCCCAAGTATCAAGGGACTACAAAAATTGAATTATTATCATAAATTTTTAATACTTTTCATTAACAATAAGCACTTATCGTATAGTAAAAAATAGTTAATAGGTTAAGTTAGGTTTAGTAAAACTGATAAGAATGTTGCCCCATTAACAAAAAATGGGGCCCCATTGGATTTCGAAAAGTCCTANAGTAAATTACGTTACAAGTTTTTAATTATTATGAAGAATAAAAAATTACCGATGAAAGAATTTTAACAATTTAAAAATAAAAATAATTAGGAAAAATTTTTAAATAAATTACAAAAAAAAAATTATATAAAAATCTTTAAAGTAGTCTTTGATCAGAATACTAATAAAAATACCGCAGGGGGAATAAATTTGTTTAGCTTTAATCTCGTATATTTATTAAATCAGTAAAATTTGTAAGCCTATAATTTTACACTATAAAGTTGTTGAATTAATACAATATTTTATATAGTTATTGAATTTTTCTTATTAACAGGAAGCTCACAACATAATTATAAATTTCAACATCATTTCTTTTTAATATTTATTATTAAAATAAAAATGTTAAATAATTCTTAGCCACCTCCGACTAGTTCTTGATATTTTTTAATTCTGTTTTTCATTAGCTAAAATAAATGTTTGCCTTTAGGTCAATTAATGCTTCTCATAAATATTTAAAAAGAATCTATAAGAATAAATTTATATATGTATTTCGTGATAAATCATGTAACAAGTAATAAATTTTTCTTATAGCAAAAATTGAAAAAGTTACTCAATAGCAATAATAGTTTGGATTTCTCATATAGGTTCCTTGATCTGTTTAAATTCTTCACTAAACTTTTATCGATTTAACCTTGTATTTATGAGTAAAATATGATGTCGAAATATTAATACCTATTTCTTATAAATTCTTTATAGTATGTATTAATATATTCAATATAATAAATTAACTATATAAATCTATTATAATGAATAATTAATCTAATATAATGAAAAAAAAAATTGCTAGACTACAAGTCCGCTAACATTTAATAATTTTATTTTTAAAATGCTTTTCATCAATTATTTTATATAAAATGATTATAATAATTATTTAATTTTAATTTTTTAACAACATGTTGTTATTCATGTAGGGATTGATTAAAATTCCAAATTTTTTTTAATGCAAATTTCATCATCATTTCGTGTTGTTCCATTTTCGCTCTGAAAAATGAAAAGAGAAGGAAAATATAGAATGAAACTAGAACAGGGTATGATATAAACAAATTGATAAAAAAATAATAATAAGTGCTAATTATATTATTAAAAAAATAATAATGGTTATTTAATAGATTTTTATTAAGTTAATTATGAACTTATTAAAAAGTCTTTTAACATTAAATAAGAGATTTGTTTATTTTATCTCTACCTAATATATTCTGTAAATATTTTAAAATTTGATTAATGAAAGGTTTATTAGTTAATATAATCGATATAAATTTTTTTAACTTAAAAATTTATTGCGACAGAAGGAAAAAATCTAGAATGAAACACAAAGGACTTTTCGACCTGTGTTTCTAGAATCATCTTATGAATTCGTAAACAAGATTTAAAAAACAGCTGGCACCCAAAGAGTGATCGACCCAACCATCTATTATCCTATATCTTTCTTGGCCATTTCTCATTATTCTCTCATTAATATTCACAAGATACCCGTCATTGCATTACTTTCAATCGGTAGCAGTTGATATTTTTGAAGTAATTAGTTATATAAGAATTTCTTATAAAAACTAAAGGTGTATATCATTAAAAAGAAAAATATATATATACAAATCACAGAAATATCTTCGCACTTTTATTTATTTATTTATTTTATCAATGATATATTGGAAGAAAGATTATAAGAAAAACTCAATCGTTCAATTATTTAAACGACGAGAATAATCTTTTTTATTTATATAATATAGTCAAGATTATTATTTATTGTCTATTTAGAACATTACTCAATTAATAAAACCATTAAATCATATTATTATTCATTAATATATTAAATAATTAAATTAGCGTATTTAATTTTAATAATTAGTAATTAATCAATTAATCACATTACTACAGAAAGTTAAGAAGTTTATTTACAAATAATGTAAATAGCAAAATTAAAAGTTGTTGTTGATAAACTGCCCGAAATTCTCTATGTATACAGTTGAGATACCTTTTCATTGCACTTTTATATTATTTTTTACACGGTAATCCACTGAGAATGTGTGTTTAATGATGCGTTTAGTTAGAATGACTGATAAATTAGTCATTTTGACACGAGCATTGTGAATATATTTCTTGCATGTAAAATAATTCAACTTCAAAGATAAGTTGTAAGCGTGTCTTCTATTCTTTACAGTTGCTAATTAGGATATCAACGCATTAACCCTTATCTTGTTATCGGATGTGACAATGCTGTTTAAAAGTATAAGAAGATCCATTAGAAATTTTAATTTAAATATAAAGTAAAAAAAAAGTATTGTTTTTATATGCAATAACGTTACTATTTTAATTAATTTTAACTGATTATTTCTATATTGTCTAAATTATTGACAACAAATAACTGTAAATAAAATTAAAAAATAAATAATTATTTTCTTTTTACAATATTTTTTATAAATTTATTTAATTTTTAACAATATAATAAAGTTTAATATAACTAAGTATGTGTGATTATTAACAAGTTCTTTGATAAGCCTTTAAGTTTAAAGCAGTTTTTTTAAAACTATTTTATACAGAAAGGTATTCTTTAATTTAACGAGGACTTCTGTTTAGCATAAAATTTTTTAATGAAAAAAATGTGAGGTCAACTACATGTTATCCATAAAATTTTATGTTAATATCTGAATTTACTTATTGCCAACATGTTTATTCTACACACACGTGAAATACAAAATATTTTCTTATTTTGTTTTTAGATTCAGTACTTAAGTTATTGAATTTTTC